GATGCTGGCTGATTCCTCCCTCCCTTCAGGTCTTTGTGCAGATATCGGCTTCTCGGTGAGAATCTCCTCAGGTGCCCCCACCATCCATTCACCCATGTATGCCTTATCCCTCCTCCCTGTTTCTTGTACCCCTTGGCACTTATTAGCATCTGACCCATTGCATAGTTTACTTGGTTATCTTGTTTCTGGCCTTTCTGTATTATCCAAGGGTTTCCAGAAAAGTAGCTTCCATGAGGGAAGGGATTAAAAAAAAAACATCTGTTTTGTTTCTTGATGTATTGACAGCATCTAGTTCAGTGCCTGGCGCACAGTAGGCTGTCAATATTTGTTGAATATGTGAATGTGTGGGACTTGGAGCAAACGCTAGAATCATGCCTTGGTAATAAAGGGGCCAGAGTGAGAGAAAATGTTTTTTCCTCATGTTTTGTTTCCAGACCCCCTTACACCCAACCCCTACTCTGCTCTCTGACCAAGGCCTTGCCTTGCCGCCCTGAGAGCCCCTGGAATCCTGTAAGCAGTGATGTCAGGAAGGTTACCCTGCTTCCCTACCATGGCTGGAGGGCCCTGAACAGAGCAGAATGCTCAATGCTAGCCATCCTCTCACCTAGAGGTTTCAGGAAATAACTGGGGGAACTTTGGCTAGTACTCAGCTGAGGGGTAGAGTGATGACTTTGTGGCATTTTGCTATTGCTGCTTAAGCTATTTTGTTTATGCACACTGACAGGTAAGGCTAGACATAAACAGACCCTTTTATATCCACCACAACCCCTGGGCCAGATGCTCTGGGCCTCGAAGATGTTTTAGCCATGTTTTTGTTGAGTGAAAGAGAAAAAGACACAGCAGCAGGTGTCTACTGGCCAATGCCAGTGAAAGCAGTAATCTTACTTCAGAGAGTTCCTAGAACTCGCTTCTCATCTTCTGTAATCCTTCATGATGGCTGCAGCTGGGACATTACTGCCAACAGTGGTATGAAGTCCTGGCTCTGTTTTCTAATCATCTGATCGTCCGATCATCCAGGAAGCTTAACAAGAAATCCCCAGGCCTGGGCCCCACCTTGCTCAAATTAAATCGGAATCTCTGAGGAAAGGACTCAGGCAGAGCAGACTTTAAGAAAGACCCCAGGTGATCCTACAGTGCGGCCAGGTCTGAGTTCTGCGGTAGAACCGGTGGAACTGGTTGAGAGAAGGGCCCTGGACCCTGACCTACTGACCTTTGCCATCACCTTGGCCAGTTCACACCTTGACTGCTTTCAAGGCCCATTTCCAGCTCTGCTGTTCACAAAAAAAAAACCTTTTGAACACAGAATCTGATCTCACTGAACTCCCCCTCTTACAGGGTGCTTCATTTTGGAAGCTGATGTTTGGTAATTAATCACCCCTTCCTGGGTCTGATCTGATCTTCCCCGGTGTTTACTGCTTTGACTGGAACCTAGGTTACAGACTCTCCTCTCACTTAACCCCAGTTCTTTTGGGTACAGAATCAATGAGACAAAGAATTTCGAACTGCAAATGCCCCTACTTCGGAATGAAGGGAGTAGAGAGATGAGGAAGGCATTCCGAGTTCTTCCAGGTTTGCTGGGGGAGGAGAGAGCCACCCATAGATCATTCAAATGCAAGGCAGGCCAAGATAAGAGTTCTCTGGAGGCACACTAAACTCCTGGAGGGGAGCTGGGCTAGAAGGAAATCCTGCATTTGGGGGTTTTTCCTGGCTCTATGTTCAGGATGGGAGATCCAGTTGCATTTGGGAAGCAGAGAGGCACCCCTCAGGGGTTTCCATGCTCCTAGCTCAGGGTAAGCTCACATTAAACATGTGTTGATTGGTTGAAGACAGCCCCAGACACAGCCGGCTGTGGAGCTTCTGGGGACAAGCGTGCAGTGAAGGACTGTGAAGAGTGCCTAAGTGCAACCTCTTTTCTTTCACAGAGGAGGGGACCAGAGCCAGAGGGAGGAAGTGAGCTCTGGAAGGCCACCCAGTGAGCTCCTGATAGAGCCAGGCCTTAAATCCAGCCCAGCTGTCCCCTCTCTTTCCAGGGCCTCTGGCTGCTTCCTGGAAGGAGGGATTATTAAACTGATAGACTCCAGGAGGTCTGTGAACTTGAATGGGAAAAAATTAGATTTTTATTTTCACTAACCTTTAACTGAAATCTAGCAAATCTAGTGGACGTAGGAAAGAAACCATCGTGATATTGGCAGCAGCTATAACTTTGTCATCAACAGAAATCACAGATATTTTATCTTCCTTATCTCGCAGATAGCACTAAATATCATTTATACTCATCATTATTTTGAAAATCCAGAAGTTATTTTATGTTGTTATTTAATGCATTAAATAAGCACATATATGACTATATCAAAATATTTTGATGCCTGTTTCAATAGAATTGGCTTGCCTTGCAATTCTGTGAGATTCCATCATATGCATTTAAAGCAAGAAGGAGTTCACAGGCTCAGCAGCCTATGGATGCCAAAGGGGTGCATGGCACAAAAAAAGATTATAAGCTCTTCTTCAGGACTGCTCTCCATGAAATACCCAGACATCTTCTGCTGTAGACTCAGTTTTATGGGATGCTTAGCACTCAGCCTTGGTGACCACAAGGCTGGGTTCCTTTCCCAGTTGTTGCTCAAGCTCTCTGAACCTCAGGTTCCATGTCCATAAAATCAGGATAATAATTGTCTCCACCTTTTAGGGCTGGTATGAGGTGAGAACACACACACAATGTTGGTATGGGGCTTGGTTCAGGGTAACCATTCACTACATACTAGTGGTAGTGCACAAACCTGAATGTGCTGGATCTCAGGGTCTTGGGTTGACCAAACCATTTCTTTATCTTGGCCGATTCAAGAAGAAGAAAAAAAAAAATCTTTGCTAATTTGTCAAATTTTTTCAAACCTCAGTTCTCAGGTATCAAAAACTATCGCCCGAAAGAGGTCACATGGCCTAAAATAACTTATTTTAAATTTGAATTTTAATTTACATATCATAAAATGCAGTAATCTTAAGTGTACAACTCAATAAATTTTTATGTGTGTAGATTCATTTAATTACCACCCAAATCAAGATATAGAACATTTCCAGCATTCCAGAAGGGTATGGTTCCCTCTTAGCCTTTCTCAGTCAATAGTACCTAACCTCTTTAACCACGATCCTGAGTTCTACCACCATTGACTAATTTTGCCCGTTCTAGAACTTCATGTAAATTGAATCAGAATGTAGGCATTCTTTCATGCCTGGCCTTTTTCACTCTCAATGTCCGTGAGGCCCATCTGTGTTGTTGCATGTATCAGTAGCTTTTCTTTTTCATGGTTAAGTAGTATTCTATTGTGTGAATATACCACAACTTGTTTATCCATTTTCCTGTTGATGGCAATCTGGGCTGTTTACATTTTTTAACTCTTATGATTACAGTTGCTACAAATGTTTGCAAACATGTCTATGTGTGGGCATATGAACTCATTTTTCCTGGGAATTCCTAGGCATGGAATTCCTGGGTTGGAATGTTTGTTTTAGTTTTAGTTCCAATTACCTTTAAAAAGATGTATTTTACTGAGTATGGGAGGTGAACACACAGTACAATATTTATGTGCCTTACTTTTAAATTGTATACCTGAAACTTACTGGATTTTCTTAACCAATATCACCATTAAAATAAATAAATAAATAAGGAAAGAAAGAAAGAAAGAAAGACAGACAGAAAGAAAGAAGGAAATGTATTTTATAAAGAATGAGGCTTAGATAGTGCAGTGAGTTTTCCCATGTTTGCTTTCCCAAAGTCACACCTGATGATTTTTCAGACACGAGGTAGCAGGAATTCCAATATTGAAGTTTTTGAAAAGTTGGTATTATTATTATTAATAACCAGAGTTTGTTTGCCAAGTATGGCTCGCTATTTCAGTCTGAGAAAGAGGCTGTAGTGAAGAAGTTAAGGAGGGTAAATTAGAAGATAGACAGTGCG